AATATGTTCGGCAACGCAAGATTTATCCGGTTTACCATATCTTATCTGAGCTAAATGTTCTTTAAATCTAGTTAATATTGATTTTCTAGTTTGCCCAACATATTTCTGATTACAATCTTTACAAGAAATTTCATAAATACCCGACCTTTCCAGTGGAGGTGTTTTATCCTTTGGATTACCTAATAATTGTTGTAATTTATTATTAGCACTATACACAAGTTTATAATTTACATTCTTCAAAATTCCTTTTAGACCACGGGATAACTCTCTATCAAACGGCATCGAAAAATATTTAGACGTGTCTTTCTCCACTTGAAAAGTCGAATTTTCAGAAATCATTAACCTATACCTACGTTTTCTAATTAATTTATCAACTAGTGAAGGAGAATATCCATTACACTCAGCTACATTCCTAATGTAATCTCTTTCTATTTCATATCTTTCTTTGGAAAGTGGGAAACTAAGTTATCTATGAACTAGGAAATTTAAACTAGCCATTTTATGTTCAACACTATGATGTGATTCATTAGGAATATATCTGCGTGTGGTCGTATTTTTCCTATAGATATTAAATTCCAGGCAATTATTAATATTTCTAATAACTCATACATCTAGAAATGGTAATCTGTCGTTGTTCTCAATTTCATGCGTAAATTTAATGGAAGGAAAACGATTATTTAACTTAGAAATAAAATTATCTATGGTGTCTGAATGTGTGTCAAAAACAGCAAAAATATCATCCACATACCTAAACCAAACTCTTGGAAAATACTCAAACTGATTCTTAGCCTCCACTTCAAACCTGCTCATGAATAAATTAGCCAAAAATGGAGATAATGGATTACCCATTGCTGTCCCTTCCCGCTGTTCAAAAAAGTTGTTATTAAATTGAAAACAATTTTGTTTCATACATAACGATGTAAGCTCAATATATTCAGTCACAGTTTTGTTGTCGAGACCATTTGCGTTCAGTAATTCCTTCAAGTAGCAGTAATTTACAGTAATTTTATTAAATTATACGAATATTCTCGTTGATTTATTCTCGTGTTTTACTGGGGCAATTTAAATACAAACTAAAAGCAAGAAGTATTTTTTCTATATAAATATATAAAAGTGTTACTTTTGGAAGCCACTCAGGTGAAATAACACGTTAAAAAATAAGATATATAAGCCATGCAAACGCTCCTTTATTTCGCGTATTTTGCACGCAAATCTCTGAGGACTGTAACACGGTTTGCTTTCGCCGAATCTATTTTGGTGTTTTCAAACTTGTTTTAGCCACAAAAACATCTAAATTACACGAAGAAAAAAATCACTTAAGGCACTACAACAGAAAGCGATACCAGTATAAAAATAAAGACGTAAATTTTAACGTCACGATTTTTTTATGACGGTGATGTTAAAAGTAGTTTCTCTGTGTCCTTCACCAGCTTGTACAGGTCCTTGATAGGATGGGAGCAATGTTTTATCCTTGCTTTCCAAAAAGAGAGTTTACTCACTAATTTATTGCACTAATTGGGAGGTTCTGAATGAAGCTTTAAACCATTTAACATATATGAATTAAAAATGTTTTAAAATTATAAGGATGTTGGTTGGTATAGTCTGTCCAACGAGAAGATCCTTGACAGTGATATATGTGTCTGTCATTTTAATTTCAAAGTAGTTTATTTTATTTTACAAAGAAATAAGTTGGTACAACTGGAACGCATAGCAGGAAACATAGACAAACAGAAAAATTAAAAGACTGCCGGAAGACATACGACGCGCAGGCAAATGTTCCTGTAGCGCATCGACGCAAGTGCGGAAATACGTCCATCTAGCTATCTGTGTTTCGACACTAGTCCGTTAGTGTTAGCATATTCAGAAAGAACACGCTAACCTCTGGGAATTCCCCAAATTTTGGGGAATCCGGAGCCGATTGGGAATTTTGTTGGGATTAGCAATAGGCGGCGAAAATAAGAGGAGTTTCAACATTTTATTGCTGATTGAAAATGGCGTAAAATTTTTAGCTTTAAAAACGGAGCGGGACGATATCTCTTTCCCAATTTAGAAATTATTATCTGCTTTTTACTTGTGCTTCCCTTTGCAAATGCTTCAGTTGAAAGAAAATTTAATGACCTCAAATTATTTAATGACTATTAGGGAAGGGATTAAAAAACAAGGAGGTAATTTACAGTTTAATCTCTCTAACATATATAATAAATATTGTATTTTTATTAAAATTATTTTTTTTTTGTTAAAATAATCATATTTAATTTAATTTTTGGCGAATCGGGACATTTTTATCCCCAAATTGGCGAATTTAATTTAGATTTTGGGTAGTTTAGAAAATTGACATTAGCAACGCCGCTAACCTCATTCTTTTGTTTGTTGCTTGTTCAAAAACCGGCACACGGCGTAGTACAAGGCTTGATCAATTTTGAAGAAATTTTTGATTGTTAATTTTATTTTTGTGCAAACTAAACAGTTGTTTTTTATTAAAAAATAGCAGACAAAGGTAAGGTAGGTAATGTCCATGCAGAAGTTTTTATTTCACAGGCTATTCTTTCTAGAAATTATACCATCCAGCCCTCCTATTTAATTATTAAATGAAAGTGTGAAAGAGATATCAAGGGCTATTCTAAAAATATCATCCGGCCAGTCTAGGCCCTGTTGTCAACCAGAAGGTGTGCTAAGTTGGATGTTGGATATAGAATGGAAGGAATATCATGGCCGAGAACAAGGCATAATTGTATGACCCTTGATGTAGGAGGGTAGGTTTGTTTCTAATAGGCAGTAAAACCAAAAATTCTACTGCGAATCTTCATATTCTAGGCCTGTAAAGATAAATAATTCCTGGAGCCATCTCGAGGTATAGTACTCAAGTCGGAGCGAATCAATTGGTAGCACGTTGAAATAAAATAATAGCCATCATAAAACTGTAAATATGGATATAACTAGTACAATGTAGCTATTTAACTGTAAGTACAATGTAGCTAGATATTTAGTAGAGTAGGGGTATTATAAATTAACACAAAATACAATAATTGGTCATTGTTTCCATTCCCATTCAATTCTTCCCATTTAATCGTTTTCCTATAAAAAAAGGAAAATTAAAATTAAGAGTGCCCTTAACCAAAAATAGTGAAATAAATGGAGATAGTCAAATTTTATATTAGCGTGTAAGACTTTGAATAAAAAGGTGTAAAAGGATTATAAATGCTGTATTTATATCCTTTAATATCATGATAATATAAAATTTAAGTAGGTATATCTCCATTTATTTCACTGTTTTTGTTTAAGGGCACTCTTAGTTTTAATTGCCTTAAAAATAATAAGTATAATAATAATTTAAATCTCCCGCTCTTTCATAGTTCGTTCCTGTAGCCAAGTAGAGGGCGCCAAAAGCGCAATCTCCCAACATTTTACCACGCGATTCACCAGTCTCTAAACTATTAACTTTCTCTATGGCAGGAAATTATTATATTTAAAATTTGACTGACAAGTGATTACGTCAAAATATTGTGAAAAAAAACTGTATAAAACTGAAAAAATGTAATCGAGTTATTTAATTTAATAAAAAACAGTATGTGTTATTACAAAACAAACAAGAACAAGACACCACATACCAAAAAAATATGAAAAAGAACTATTTCTTACTTTCAAGCTTTATGAAACTTTCCGCATTTATGATTATCTTTATCAATATAACTTACGTATAAATAAAAATTTGTAATATTCCACAGGAATACATAAAACAACATAAATAAAACAAACTATTTTATTATTAATAACACTTACCAAATTTTATAGGTACCTTAAAGGTTGATTAATTAACTTTAATCTTAATTTTTTAAACAAGTACCTTTGACATTACTAAAATAAATTATTTACGTATCGTGTGATGTCGATATATTACAGCTACTCCAGTTTTTAGTATGTGTTTAGTATGGTCCTTCTACCATATTCGAGATGCACTTGTCCACGACGAGATGGTATACGAACTTTAATGATAGTAACATTATTGGTATATAAGACTTTTTGCCTGGGCAGCGTGTATTAACCATAAACTGTGCTCTGGGTCTACAGTTAATTTTCACTCGATTTTTCCTCCACTTGACTTCAAAAGACACAAAACACACGTAATAACACGAATCAAAATGCATTATCTTCCAAAACGCAGGGTATTTGACATTTTGACAAAACTGACAGAAGTTGACACAAAATTATAACCTCTAATTTGGAAGACTTTGACAAGCGTCAAAAATCTAAAGGCGAGTTCATACGCATCGGCGTCCGTTTGTCGTTCATCGTTCCGTCAAACGAATAAAATTGAAATACGATCTGTCATTTTTGAAATAAACCAATAAAACTGGTTAAAAACAACAAGAGACGACGCATGACGGATTAATATTTAAACCCATGCATAGTTAACTTAAAAATTATTAGAAACTTTTTTTAGTAAAATAAATAGATTGGTATGGGACGTCATCTGCTTTTCTTCTGTCATCGTCTGTCGAAATCTTACCTGAGAAAAAAAACAGAGTATATTTGTTCGTGTATGTTTGTTTTATACATTTTTCTGCGTGTAGGGTCAAATTAGGGCCGAAATAGGGATAAACTAGGGAACGGAGGTGGATGTCGAAAGCCAATTACCAACCTGGCACGATTAAAAGCACGGTCGATTAGACTGTGCCCAATTTTTCGGAAAATGAGCCTACATCGGGGTCAACGATTCCGCTCTGTTCATTCCTACTAACAGTATATTTATGCTTTAAAATTAATAAATGTATTCTTAATTGAAAAAGGAAATTATCTTTAAGAAAAATGATTTCGAATTTCTCCACTATCTCAGATTATGAATTATTAATTAAATTAAAAAAAAAATAACCAGTTGCTCTTTGCTATCTGTCAAATTTGGCATTTAACGTATTAAGTGGCTAAAAAATGCGTTTATTCAATTAGGGCCAAATTTTGAAAAACTGTATGTAAAAAAGTTATTGTCGAATTTTACATATAATCTATACTTCTTCTTCTTCTTCTTGTTCATTTTTAAGATCTCGCGATCTGTTAATTTTGATGGGTCCTCTGTAACAGTTCTTGGGAGGTGGACTGCCAGCTGTCCTTCCATCTCTTAGGTGGTCTTCCAGGTTCTCTTTTCCCTGTTGGTTTCCCTTCTAATGCAATTCGTGGCAGTCTTCTCTCATCCATTCTTCTCACGTGGGCGTACCAACCTCTTTTTCTTTGTCTGCCCCACCTTACATATGTCTTGCACCTCACATTGTTCCCTGATGTCGGTGTTCTTAATTCAGTCTCTTCTTGTTTTTCCCATTATTGTCCTGAGCGTTTTTCATCTCGGCTACTCGTAGCATGCTCTTCGTTTGTTGGTTTCTCTCTGGTTTCTATTCCGTATGTCATGATTGGTCTGATACAAATCTTGTATATCTTTACCTTGCTATCCCATCTCATGTATTCGTTCGCCCATATTGTTTGCCTTAAGCAGCCCGACATGGCAGTCGCTTTGTTGATCTGGCTTCTTAAAGTCCTTCGCTGAATCATGGTGGCTCGATCCATACCCAGGTATTTGAATTGTGAGACTTGCTCGATGATTTTGTCCTGAACTACCAACACATCTCGGTCCCCAGCAAGGTTATGCTTTTCGTTTTTCTGTAGATATGGTCATATTCATCGCTTGACTGACCTGGTAGAATCTGTGAAGCTGTTTCTGCAGGTCGTCCTCCGTTTCACGAAAATGGCTGCGTCATCGTAGCATATAATACTGATTCTTTTCTGTCCCATTCGGTATCCTATGTTAGTGATGATACTTCCTCTATAATTCTGTCCATTAAGAGATTGAATAGAAATGGGCTAAGGCTGTCACCTTGTCTGATGCCTCCTGGTGTCCAGTTGGTTGTATAATCCTATACAATATATAAAATCCTTAAGTGACTCACATACTGATTAATCACGATCCTGCTCAAACCACTCAACGTAAGAAGCTCAATTTTGGCATACAGATTGATTCTAGGATGTAGTGGTTCGATAAGAAGGGATTTCTCAAAATTCCAGTTCCAAGAGGGTGGAACCACCCCTCGAATATTACAATATTTTTTATTTAAAAAAGGTCAAGTTTCCTAAAAAACGCTTAAACACGTATATTATATTTTGTTACTTTACATATTTCAAAATTTTTTAGAAATGTATGCAGGGTTTTTCAGAAAATCTGGTCATTGATTAATCACGATCCTGCTTAAAGCGCTTGACGTAAAAAGCTGATTTTTGGAAAACAGATTGACTTTAGGGTGTAGAGGTTCGATAAGAAGGGATTTTTGGAAACTTGAATTCTAAGGGTGTGAAACCACCCCTCAAATATTAGAATATGTTTTATTTAAAAACCGGTGAGTTTTCCGGAAAAATTCTTAAACACGTATATTTTATTTTGTTGTTTTACATATCTTAAGATGTTTTAAAAAATTATACAGAGTGTTTCATAAAATATGACCACTGAGTAATTACGATTCTGCTTAAACTGCTTGACGTTTAAAGCTGATTTTTGGCAAACGGATTAACTGTAGGGTGTGATAAGGAGGGGTTTCTCGAATCTCAAATTCCAATAGGGCGAAAACGTCCCTCAAATATCACAATATTTGTTATTTAAAAAACGGTTAGGTTTGGTTTGGTTTGGTTTGGTTTGGACACACTTGGACACGCATAATTTATTTTGTTTTTTTACATATTTTTAAAAACCATTCAGGGTGTTCTAAAAAGTTGGGTAATTGATTAGCTACTATTCTGCTTAAATTGCTTGACGTAAAAAGCTTATTTTTGGCAAACGGATTTTTCGAAAGTAAAATTCCAACGAGATGAAACTACCTCTCAAATATTTCCAAGTTATATAATAATATCGCCATGTAAAATTTTATCCAGTTTGTATGTTAATGGAAATTCTTGCTTTGCTTTTTCATCACCATTACAAATGATTAATTCGACGCGAACGAAGTCGCGGGTACACGCTAGTAATAATATATGTAAGTATACCAGTTTTAAGCTGTCTAAATGAAAAAAAAATGTTATTATTATTCATCCCTTCTGTGGCGCTGCAAAAACAGTCTTTACAATCATAGCCACAAAACAGTGGTTGGCCAACAAATTTCTAGAATGGTTGAGAAATTTTCCAAAGGAGAGACAGGCGAAAAAGTTCATAGTAGAATAATAATAATAATAGCTCCCGTATATAGCTTTTAAAGCCTTGGGAGTAGCAAGGTACAGCTTGCCATGCTAAAGTCGTTCGGTATACAAGGAAGATAACCCAAGCAGCATTTGGACGTCGGGACAACGTTGTGTCATGCGACCAAACGTCGGGGCGCAACGTCGGCACAACCTCGTGCCAACCCTAGTCTGCACTAGTTTGGAGAATAATTTTTGGGTCGAAACGACGTTGGATACCGACATTGGCTAGAAGCCTAATTTAGTACAAACTGCAACGTTGTTTAAAATCCTAATTCACAGAAATACAAAACTAATATGGCGTCTAAGTCGCGTTTTATCCTAAATTGGGATAATTATGGTAAAAATATTATTTTTATGATTTAGTTGGAGACATATGTCAGATGGCAGTGAAGGTAAACAAAACAAAAGTATTTAAGTGTGGAGGATGTTTGAAGATCATAATTATTGAAACACTTTAACCGACTCTGTAACTCGTTACCTAAGGCAAAAAAGTTAAACGCAAGCAACTTTATTGATAAATATATTGTTTCAACTTTGAAAAATACTAATGGGCCTTAAAATTAAAGAAATTTTAAAAAAAATTTCTTGAATTTTTTTTAGTAAAATGAGAATAATTTATTCGCTGTCGAAAAAATTGTTTCCGCGTGTTTTTAGGGTCAAATATTTCAAGTTAATGTATTGAAAATGCAGGAATTGCTATTTTAGAAACGAAACATTTTCTTATTTACAACATGGCGGCTTTCACTTTGTTGTTTTGGAGATTAAGGTGGACTAGTTCGAGTAGTCGCATACTGGACTCATAAAGTCGCAGTTCGGCCTTAACACGTAGTATGCTAGTCGCAAGATTGCCTAATTTAGTCATCCTAGAGTCTAACTTGTGCCGCCCCCTATAATCTAAATAAACGAGGGAGTGGATAAACTATCGGTAATATATGTCGATGTATATTTAAATTTAGTTTTATATGTATCTTTCTTATGTCCCATTTCAATTAAGTTTTTTTTATAAAAACAAAAACAGCACTGAACTGTCTGACTGAACAGAACAATGAAGTGAAAATTTAAGATTTAAGGTTATGGTTCAATACAGTTGCAAAAAGGTAGTGACTCGACGTTCTACCAACGTAAGAATAAGGATATCTAAACAACGTTGGAATTAGTAAAACAGACGACGTTTGCATAACGTTGGAATAGGTCCTGAAACTGACGTCGGAAAACTCTATATTGTCCTACGTTGTCCGAATCACCTAAAGATCACTTAAGTAAAAAAGGTTACAAGACAACGTTTATTCGACGTCGCAGAAGCTTCCTACTTTGCTGTAGTACTAGTCCAACGTCGGCACCACGTTATAAAAACGTTTAAATTTATTTTAATACCCAAGGTAGGGAGCTAACTATTTTTAATAAACTAATCCAACGTTGTGTTTAGTAAACATGTGGTCGCAAGTCGTGAAAATGCTACTTGGGAATGTGGCTAGCACCACGCTTCAACCGCCTATTATTACCTCAGGATTGTGAAACCCAAGTACTCACTTAAGGCTAAGTCGACCTAGGTACCTAAACTATTTTTATTTTAATAAAAATAGTCGGCTGATGAAATGCCGGGTGTGGGATTCGAACCCACAACCTTTCGATTGGTAGACGAGAGCTGTACCTCTACGCCACCGGGCACCTTCATAGTAGTACATCATAGTAGAATATTCGCCAAAATTCAGAGCAGACTGATAAACAAAGACAGAAAGACAGTCAAAGCTGTAGTGGGTCTACTAACAGGGCATTGTAAAGGCATCAAAAGCTAATGGAATTAGATTGTTCAATCTCCATGTTATTATATTTTGTGAACGGGATACTACTAGAGAATGTAACCTTGAGATTAAATGAGGAATAATAATAGCCATCTCAAAAATCTAAATATACCAACCAAAATTGTATTTTAAACCTGTAAAATACTAAGCCACTCATTAAATATTAATTTTAAACGAATATATACATACATAACGCCACTTAATCTTTCTGGTACAAGGTGTAATTTCGACCTTAACCGCATTATTTAACGCCGCAAGTGGATAATTACAAACATGAAGCACGCGGGCCTCCAGACCAGCAGCGATTTACTCTCAAAAGACAAGTAAAAAGTTTTAGAGGAGACGCCATCATAGAAACGAGAGAACCAGCTCAGCTCCCTTTGATCCGCGTGCCGGAGTCCAATTTAGCAACCGTGCGCTCCGGGACGATGAGATGAAAATGGCGAACGATGGTCCGGGGGCTTTGTTCCGGATCCGGGAGCGCCGGATTCTGTTTATTTTTAATCAAAAAGCGAGGCTATTAACGCGAGGCACCCCGCCCCACCGCGACGGCACTGTCACGTATGGAAATTAAATTAATATTTTAGATTAAACTGGCTTGAGGCTAAAAGATCGTTACGCATCGTAATCCACAAAGTAAAAGAAATATTTAGAACGCTTTAAAAATGTTGTTTAGCTCACGGGATTTGTCTGCGTATACAGAGAAAATCCGAATTTTATATAGGAATTTTTTATACTTTAGATACATACTCAATACTCCGGTATACAGGTTCTATTCATAGAACACTTTACAAGTTCTATTTAGCTATAGTCTGTCCAACGAGAAGATCCTTGACAGTGATAGATGTGTCTGTCATTTTAATTTCAAAGTAGTTTATTTTATTTTACAAAGAAATAAGTTGGTACAACTGGAACGCATAGCAGGAAATATTTAAAATTTGATTGACAAGATGACAAGTGATTACTTCAAAATATTGTGAAAAAAACTGTATAAAACTGAAAAAAGGTAATCGAGTTATTTTATTTAATAAAAACGGTATGTGTTAATACAAAACAAACAAGAACAAGACACTACATACCAAAAAAATATAAAAAAGAACTATTATTTACTTTCAAGCTTTATGAAACTACCCGCATTTATGATTATATTTATCAATATAACTTATGTACAAATACAAATTTGTAATATTCCACAGGTATAAATAAAACAACATAGGTAAATACAACAACTATTTTATTAATAATAACACCTACCAAATTTTATACCTTAAAGGTGGATTAATTACCTTTAATCTTAATTTTTTTAAACCAGTACCTTTTGACATTATTTTTCTGCACCAGTACTAAAATCCATTATTTACCTATCGTGTGATGTCGATATTTTACAGCTACTCCAGTTTTTAGTATGTGTTTAGTTTGATCCTTATATACGAAATGCACTTATCTACGACGAAATGGTATACAAACTTTATCGATGGCAACTTCATTGGTGTATAAGACTTTCTGCCTGGGCAGCGTGTATTAACCATAAACTGTGCTCTGGGCCTACAGTTAATTTTCACTCGATTTTTCCTCCACTTGACTTCAAAAGACACAAAACACACGTAATAATACGAATCAAAATGCATCATCTTT